TTAATGAATGAATTAATTAATAAATAATATTCAAAGACCCCTGGAGGATAGAAATTGAAAATAATAAAATATAAGAACAATGCAAGGAAAAATGAAATGGTGTACAGAAGTAATAATAGGGCCCACACAATTAAAGCCGTAAAAGAGGAAAAAAAGCAGGACGAACATATATAGTACAATTCATGATCCCTTTTGTACAATATAATAGTGCAATGTTGGTACACCTCAACTCTCACTTCTAATAAGTAGTAACTAGACTAGAAGTGGATGGCCCGTGCCAGCACGGGCCCAACATTTCAAGGGGATACATATATGAAGATTGCATATTAAGTACATAACAAGTGTGACACAACCAAAAATTATATATTAGTGTTGGAGTCAAGTTTTATAACATAGCTATGTACATTTTATTTACATACGCAAAAGGAAAGTGATCCGTTATGATTATGCTTGCTACAGTGACAAAAAATGGCTCCAATCACATTGCAAAGTGGAGCCGACATGCCTTTTCACTGATAAAAAAAATTAAAGCACAACAGTTAGTTGAACTTCTGAATGTAGGAAGTAGTAGTTCTGAAAGAAGTTTATATACCTTGTTATAGTGTTTTGGAGGGGGAGTCTTCACCTCTAGAACATGTTTGTGATGGGAAGTGGCCTCTTGCTTGTCACAGGATTTTCGATCTTCCTTTTGCTGCTTCCTGTTGTGTCCAATGGAGCAGGTGATGATGGTGCACTGATGATGTTTTCTTTTTTCGCATATGACAAGATAATTAATTTTCCGGGAGTTCTATCCATTGTTTTAGCAAATGACTTTTTGACTTGAATGGTAAATGTCTTTCCAGTTAATTGTCTTGTCACATTTGCAAGAGGCAGCATTTGTTTCTAGGGGAGTTGTTTGAATTTTTATGGATGACAAAAGATTAGTTAACAATAGGCATTTATATTGCATTTTATTTTAATCAGGCGTAATATATACCTTAATGCAGCGAATGTGGTAGATCTCTTTTGAAGTGAGATGTAACATTGTTTCAGCGTAATATATACCTTAGTGCAAACCAGTTGTATTTATGATGAAATTACTTAAACAACATGAGTAAATATAAACCAAAATGACAGAAAAAATAATTAAGAGCAGAAGGTAACAACGAAGAAAATAGAAATGTCCAGCTAACACATGTGAGTTGAAACTACATTATAATTGCAATAGCAAAAATCGAGGAGATTATAAACACCACCGGAGACTTAAGAGGGTTAGCTTTGGTCGTATTGTTGTATATTTCTCAGATGTTACCCTCACCCTGCAGCCCTCGTTTAGCTCTATTTGCAAGGAAACTAAAAGAATTCACCTACTTGTCACCCAATGACACTTTGAGCTGGTGCCTTTAGCAGTCCGACTTCATTCATCAAAAGTCGCACATTCTCTGCATCTTTACACCCTCCAACTGCAGAATAGATCTTTTCCAACAGTATATAATTTCCTTTGTTCTCTGGCTCCAGCTTAAACAGCTACCTTGCAGACAATTCTCCCAGTTCCATATTTTCATGTATCACACAGCCACCAAGTAATGCACCCCAGATGCCATGACTTGGTTCAAAAGTCATAATTTTAATAAGTTCATATGCCTCATCAAGTCGGCCAGCTCGACCAAGAAGATCAACCATACAGGTATAATGATCTGTTCTAATACTACCAGAGTGATTTCTAAGCATAAAATTAAACAAACAAAGACCGACATCCACCAAACCAGCATGACCACAAGCATGCAAAACCGAGGTGAAAGTGACTTCATTAGGTTTGACCCCACATTGCACCATCTCATTAAACAGTGACAAAGAAGTCTCGCCATGCTCATGCATCAGTATTTTTCTATAGGAATATCAATATAGATTTCTGACCTAATTCGAATTGGTATAAGCAACCCTCTCGTAGAATACGATGTTGTTCAGCAGAATCTAGCTGCTTGATGGAAGATGTAGACATGGTTGAGTCAGCAGCGAAATGTTGTCTGCTCAACTCAGTTTTATTGGTTCGGGTTCTCGCCAAGACAACCTCTTTTTTGTTAGCTTGCTTCATTTATATAGATCACGACGTCTAGCTTTTTTACTGCCTTCTGCCTCGTCAGAGTTTGGATCGATTTTCTTATTTTTATTCGGCATTTGAATATCCTATTTCTACCAGTTATCAATGATCACACATAATAACAAATATATCAGCAAGATGTAATATTATAAAATTGTAAATGCATGCAATATTGACATAAATTTAGTTTTGGCAGGGAAAACATTACCTCGTAATTAGAAGCTTATACAACCACACGAACACAAAGCGAGAACAAAGAAGCTGCATTACACAAAAAGAGCAGACCAAAAGAAGGAGAACAAACTATCATCTACCATTGGCAAAAGAGAATATATAGACTTTGTACAATAATTCTCCAAACTTTAAAAATAATTTAGCTTTACTCATACCAAATTGAAAAATCTAAAAGGAAAGAGGGACAAAACCTCAAAACACACCAAAAAGAATCACTTCAAAACTCAGGTTCCCACCTTAAAGTAACAAATCACACAGCTCTGATCTTAAAAATAAACAGAACCGCATGAAGTATTCACTATCCAGCACCTCTGAGAAGCAAATAAAGCTACAATCTTAACTTCCTCCCAAAGTGTTAAAACTTAACTCAGACACCAAAGACAAACAAATAAAGCTACAAAATAAAACCCCATAAAGTATTAACCATCCAGCACCTCAGAGAAGTAAATAAAGCTGCAATCTTTAACTTCCTCCCAAAGTGTTCAAAACTAAACTCAGACACCAAAGATAAAATAAATAAACCTACAAACAGAACCCCATAAAGTACTAAACATCCAGCACCTCAAAGAAGCAAATAAAGCTACAACCTTTAACTTTCTCCTAAAGTGTTCAAACTAAACTCAGACACCAAAGATAAAAATAAATAAACCTACAAATAGAATCCATAAAGTGTTTAACTATCCAGCACCCATGAGAATGCATAAAGCTACAATCTTTACCTTTCTCCTCAACTATTCAACTTAAATCCAGCACCAAATCTAGATAA